GGGCAGGCCGGCGGGAGCCGCGCGCCAGCAGGGACCTGCACCAAGGGCCCTGCTCCTGGCGTCGCTGCCAGCACCAAAACGCCCTGGGGAGCGCGGATGCTCTGCAGAGGCAGCAGTTCCCAAGCAGCGATGCTGCTGGGCGGCTCGTTCAAAGCAACATGCATGGAAGTGCAGGCTGCAAACTGTGCTAGCGTGAGCGCCCCTTGCGCCGCGGGGCCCCGTGTCAGTGAGGGGTCAGTGAGACCCATGCCCTGCACGAGCCCATCAGAACAGCAGGCAAATGTGACCTTAATGGAGTCAGCACGAGCCAGTATATTCGGAGAGACTAGTGCGCTGTCAAACGGGCAGGCATTTCAAAAATGATTCCACACGGCTCTGTCCTGGGTTTGATTCCAGCTAATTCTTTCATGATCTGGACGAGGAACAGAGTGCAAACTTATCAGCTTGCTGGAAGATGCTGAACTGGAGAGATTTCAACCACTTTGGAATACTGGATTGGACTATGGTTTTGCTAAAAGAGAGAAACTGTCCAAGATCATCCAGCTACATTTCAACAAGGCAAGCACGAAGCGCAGACACAGAGCAGAATTCAGGACCACAAGCACAGCACGGGGCTGGGCAGAAGCACTGCAGGAAAGCCTTGAGGGATGGAGAGGATTGCTGGGTGTAAGCCACACCGCAACGGGGCCAGGAACCACAAGCTCCATTTCCAGAAAAGGTGCTTTATCTTTGATTAACTTTCAAATGGCAATAAAATGTAACATCTGGACCTGACCTGATTTTTGTCACAAACGAAGACTGTACCTAACCAGCTCCAACAGCTCAGCTGACAGTGGAAAACCGGGTGTTTGAGTTTCCCTGATGAGCAGTTACCAATGCTTTGTATGGGTGTACTTGGCCACATTCAGCAGAGGTTGGGCCATGCTGCTCCCATCTCTTGTCCACCTTGTCCACAAGCAGGAGGACATCTGGGGCACAGCCCTTGGTTCTCAGGCCAGCGGACCCCCCAGTCCACCCTCATGCATAGAAGAGGCTAATGGATTTACCTGGTGATTCCTGCCTCCCATCAATAACATGAGTGAGGAGGACAGCAGAGCTTTTATAAACACCTGAAGTCTCCTGAGGACGGTGATTCCAGGACCACCCCTTCTGGGGCCAAGCGAACCCACCAGAGCCCTGCTCTGTCACGGGGGCCACGTCTAAAGTAGCCTGTGGGGTGGCAGAGGCCTTGGGCTGGCACAACCAGACTTCACTGCGAAAGAGGCTGGGTGAAGTCCGCGGCCTTGCTGCTGTGTGCCAAGAGAGGGGCTTTTAAAGCTCCTTTACAGAGAGAAGAGGG